GTGTGTGAGTGTCTGTGTGTGTGTGAGTGTCTGTGTGTGTGTGAGTGTCTCTGTGTGTGAGTGTCTGTGTGTGTGTGAGTGTCTGTGTGTGTGAGTGTCTGTGTGTGTGTGAGTGTCTGTGTGTGTGTGAGTGTCTCTGTGTGTGAGTGTCTGTGTGTGTGTGAGTGTCTCTGTGTGTGAGTGTCTGTGTGTGTGTGAGTGTCTCTGTGTGTGAGTGTCTGTGTGTGTGTGAGTGTCTGTGTGTGTGTGTGTGTGTGAGTGTCTGTGTGTGTGTGAGTGTCTCTCTGTGTGTGAGTGTCTGTGTGTGTGAGTGTCTGTGTGTGTGTGTGAGTGTCTGTGTGTGTGTGAGTGTCTGTGTGTGTACAGGAGGGGGAGAGGAGGAAACTGGAGGATGGTTTGGGGACTGATCTTTCCTGTATTTCTCTCTTGAAAAGAAACGAGAGTTGGTTTGTAGTTAAGTGTTGCTGAGGGTGTGGGGGGGGGGGGGGGGGGTATTGTTGGAGTTGGGGGTGTTGTGGGTGTGGGTGTGTATGTGGTATTGAGGTAGGGGTGTTGTGGGGGTGGGGGGGTGGTGTTGGGTGGGGGTGTTGTGGGGGTGTTGTGGGGGGGGGTGTGGTGTGGGTGGTGTTGGGGTGGGGGTGTTGTGGGGGGTGTGTGGTGTTGGGGTGGGGTGTTGTGGGGTGTGTGTGTGGGTGGTGTTGGGGGGGTTGTGGGGTGTGTGTGTGGGTGGTGTTGGGGTGGGTGTTGTGGGGGGTGTGGTGTTGGGGTGGGGGTGTGGGTGGTGGTGTTGGGGTGGGTGTTGTGGGGGGGTGTGTGGTGTTGGGTGGGGTGTTGGGGTGGTGGTGTTGGGGTGGGGGTGTTGTGGGGTGGTGTTGGGGTGGTGTGTGGTGTTGGGGTGGGGTGTTGTGGGGTGTGTGTGTGGGTGGTGTGTGGGGGGTGTTGTGGGGTGTGTGTGTGGGGTGGTGTGTGGGGGTGTTGTGGGGGTGTGTGTGTGTGTGGTGTTGGGGGGGTGTTGTGGGGGGTGTGTGGGGTGTTGGGGGTGGTGTTGGGGTGGGGTGTTGTGGGGGTGTTGGGGTGGTGTGTTGGGTGGGGTGTGTGGGGGTGGGGTGTGGGGTGGTGTTGGGGTGGGGGTGTTGTGGGGGGGGGTGGGGTTGGGGGTGGGGTGTTGTGGGGGTGTGTGGTGTGGGGTGGTGTTGGGGTGGGGGTGTTGTTGGGGGGTGTGTGGGGTGGTGTTGGGGTGGGGGTGTTGTGGGGGGGGGTGTGTGGGGGGTGTTGGGGTGGGGTGTTGTGGGGGTGTGGGGTGGTGTTGGGGTGGGTGTTGGGGGGGGTGTGTGGGGGGTGTGGGGGGGGTGTTGTGGGGGTGTGGTGTTGGGGGGGGTGTTGTGGGGGGGTGTAGTGTTGGGGTGGGGGTGTTGTGGGGGTGTGTGTGTGGGGGGGTGTTGTGGGTGGTGTTGGGGTGGGGGTGTTGTGGGGGTGTGTGGGGTGGTGTGGGGTGGTGTTGGGGTGGGGGTGTTGTGGGGGTGTGTGTGTGGGGTGGTGTTGTGGGGGGTGTTGTGGGGGTGTGTGTGGGGTGGTGTTGGGGTGGTGTTGGGGTGGGGGGTGTTGTGGGGGGGGTGTGGTGTTGGGGTGGGGTGTTGGGGTGGGGGTGTTGTGTGGGGGGGTGTGGTGTTGGGGTGGGGGGTGGGGAGGAGATGGTTGCAAACCTGCAGATGCGGATACATCGCTCGTTACATTGATGCGGGAGGTGTCTACATGGCAAAGGGAGAGCGCGCAATGATCGTCCCGTCTTCTCCTGTTTCCGAAAGCCTCTCTTGACCATTAATTCGGATTAAATCCCCTCTCTCTCCGCCCCTCTCTCCCCCCCACCCCCCCCCACACCCCCCACCCACCACCCCAATCCTTGAGAAAAAAGGATGAGAAAGAGTAGGGTTTGTCGGATGGCGGTGGCGACGTGTTTGGGATCGTTCGCCCTGATGATCTTTTATTTCCAAGGCTGTTTAAACCCAGGTAAGGAAAAAAAAAGGGGTTGTTCGGTTGGGGGGGAGGGGGAGGGGAGAAATTGACAAATACTGTATTTCTGGGGGTTTAGGGCTAATGGATCTATTCTAAAAGTCTTTTCCTTTCCACCCTTTTCCCCCTCTTTCCCCCCAAAAAACACACACACACACACACACACACCATCTCCTTATTGAATGGTGTCAGCCGATTCCTGTATTTAAATTGTATTTAAATATATTTTTTAAAAAGGTCTCTTACAGATGTTTCGGATGGTTCCCTTGTTAAAGATTGCTGGTCCCACCTGTCTCTTTGCCCGCCCTCATTCATTCATTCATTCATTCATTCATTCATTCATTCATTCATTCATTCAGTCATTCAGTCATTCATCTATTAATTTTGCTTTGTATTTTCTTCTCTTTTTGATAAAGAAAACCCTGTAAAACCCTATTTTTGTGTGTGTGTGTGTGTGGGGGGGGGGGGAGATCTTTTTTGTCGAGCTGTGTTTCTGCTGTGTCTTTAAATTGGAAAATCCAGTTTCATCTTAGACTAGAGGAGTTTTGCAATGTATATTGCTTTTATTTCATGTAAAAAAAAATATCTTTTTCTATCGACGTGTGTTTCTGCTGTGTTTCTACACTGGAAAATCTTGTTCGTTTTAGACTAGAGGCTGGTAACAGTTGTGGGTTTGATGCATAAATTGTCTGTCTGTCTGTTTGCTCCTATTTCTGGTCTTTTTTTCCTCTCTTCCCCCCCCTTTTTTTTTACTCTCCTCGTCTGTGACTCCCACTGTTATAATAATAATAATAATAATAATCCTTGCATTTGATATAGCGCTTTTCACGTCGGGAGGACGTCCCAAAGCGCTTCACAGAATACACTGTAAAGTGAATTGACTGTATATTTGTGGGCGAACGCGGCAGCCAATTGCGCGCAGCAATGTCCCACAAACAGTCGTAGATTGAAAATGACCAATTTATTATTGTTTTTAGTTTTGGAGGGATTATTGAGTGTTTCCTGGGACCCATCCAGGCAGCAATTCACGAAATGTTTTCGCATTTTTAAAAGAAAGTGAGTGAGTGTTAGCAGAGCGTACCTTTGGCAGGGTTTTCTGGTGAAGCCCAGGGGCAGGGAGCCAGGTGAGATGATGTTACGGACATGCTCGGTCCTGTCTTCCATTGACTTCAAGGTGAAGACATGATTGAAATTCACACACACCACACACACACACTCACTCTCAATCTCGGAGGAGTCACTGGCTCCCGAGTCGGGCTCGTCCGCAATATTCCAGGGCGCTGCTGATGACAGCATTGCCATCCTGGCTCATCGGCAGGACATGGCAGGGCAGATCAGTCACTGGGGGCAGGGAATCCTCCTACTCAGAGCCTCGGGATGTGAATGCAATTGGTTGTTGTCGTTAATCCTGTAAACCAAAGCCCTAACAGGTAGGGTGGGTCCAGCTACTTGCCAGACAACGATATCAATGGCAAGCTATGCGGTTTTCGCTGGTTAGACTCCAGCAGTTACCCCAACGCCCACTCTGGGGTCCCCAAGCCTTGTCCTTTACCAACCCGCGCCTAGTACTTTCCGGAATTAGATAAGCAGGATGCGTCCCTCCAGGGAGAGAGACTGCGCATTCCATTCCAACAATCTATCTCTGGGATTTCCACGTGTAGGTGGGATGCACCTGGGTTCAATTCCCGGCAGGGCGAAACCTTGGGCAAGTTTCCTTACCCCACACGCCTAATAATAATCCCTCCAAAACAATAATAAATTGGTCATTTTCAATCCACGACTGTTTGTGGGGACGCTGCTGTGCGCAATTGGCTGCCGCGTTTCGCCCACAAACATACAGTCAATTCACTTTACAGCATATTCTGTGAAGAGCTTTGAGACATCGAGAAGACGTGAAAAGCGCTGTATCAAAATGCAAGGATTATTATTTTATTATTACGCATGGAATCCTCAGCTTGGTTTGGAGACTCTTAAGCACGATGGTGGGTTTCCGCATGTGTCGGACACCCGGCTGACCAAAGATAAGAGTCGCGGGCAGGAATTCTGCTTGCATTTTGTCCTGATCTCCTTTGGGTTCCCCCTGATAGAGAATGAATGTGTGCCAGGTTGAGGGTTGGATGGGGACCAGCTGTGGTGATTAATTAGCCAAGGCTTGCTGGCAGGCCTTGGTCTTGGCCATGAATAAAATGATCATTAGAATGAGTCTTTAATGACTTAAAGATGATATTTAACACATTAATTATAGGATCCTTGCAGTGGCCAGTATACATCCCAATCCAACTATGCGTCCTCCTGGGAGGAAGGGAAGGGGCAGAGAAACAGAACAAAAAGGCGCTATATCAAATGCAAGGATTATTATTATAATAGATTGGAGATCGTGTTGAAGGACATTGCTTGTGGAGTCTTCCTCAGGACCATTGCTCCCAGGGAAATGTTGAAGTAACAGGGGTTCTGTAGCCCCCGAATCATCCCAATAGTTCTGGAGCCTACTGGTTGGTTTTCAACTAAAGGTGTATGTGTAGCACAAGCAAGAGTGAACGACAGCCATCTCCAGTCCAAGTAATTTGATTTTTCCTCTACCCCTCTCCTCAAGTCACTGACTTATGCCTGGCTTGTGGCTCCTTGGGTTCCGGCCACTCTTAGGTACCTCACCAAGCAAGTGGCCAATTTTGTGGTGACCCTAGAGGACCCTAAAAATAATAATTTGGTCACTCAATCCCCAACTATTCATGGGATACTGCTGTGCGCAATTGGTTGCTGCGTTTCGCCCACAAAAGTCGAGTCAGTTCCCTTTACAGTACATTCTGCAAAGCGCTTTGAGACGTCTCAACGACACGATAAGGATTATTATAGCCTTGCATTTGCTTTTGATACAATAATAATAATAATCCCTTGCATTGGATTAAACGCAAATGCGAGGATTATCATTGATGGCGTATGTGGTCACATCCCTATTGGAAAGGCACAAATTCCCAAGCCGCTGCAGTAAAGATCCTTGACTTTCCTCCGCTTGGCCTGACCTGCGCTAAGTATTTTGTCTGTCCGTTTGCATTGTAGGTCACTGACCTCACTTACATCTGTACAGAGTGAGCATGAGCAATGGCAGGAAGGTGAGCGCTGAGGGGCCCCAAAGTAAATCAAATCCCTTTACGCCCTGGCACCTCCCTACCTTTCTGATCTCTTTTTTTTTTCTCCCCTCCCCATTCCACTACCCCCTTGCCTCCGCTCGGCTGGCTCCGGGCTCCCGCTCATCACTTTTCACCCTCCGCTCCATCATGTGTGCTTTCAGCCACACCCTCCCTCAACACCTCTGCTTTGCCCCCCTCTTTCGCAGCTTTTGGATCACGACTTCCTCTTCGGCTGTGCTTACGGTCACCTTCTCCCTCCCTATTTGAGTAGAGCCACGGAATCTTTTAACATCCACCCGAACAGGCACAAACAAGACCTGGGGTTTAACCTCTCATCCAATGCGGGGCTCCCCCCCCCCCCCCACCAACACTGTGTTGGAATATCAGCCCGGAATGCGAGTCTGGACGTATATCTGTTTGAGGAAGAAGTGAGCCATGTAATTTAGGTATTTTGGGTGTGGGCGAGTGGCGGGCAATGGGAATGGCAGTGAGTGAAAGTCTGCCTCTTGTTTACCCGCAGCTGTGTTAGATGTGCTATGAATGTTTGCTCAGAAGCAGAAAAGGCAGAGCTCTGTCTCACTCCCACTGCACAAAGGTTGCCTAAGGATACACCGGTTGTGAAGGGAAGCATTCTGTCAATAACCCAGTCTTTTTATGTACGTGTGGCGAATGTTTCGAAAGGTAATTGACAGGAACGTGGGGTGGGGGGGGAGTTGATGTCCTTGGATCGATGGTGCGGTGACAATACCGTGTCCGGGCTGGGTAATAATGTAATAATAATAATAATTCTTGCATTTGATATAGCGCCTTATCATGTCTTCGAGACGTCTCAAACGCTTCACACAATATGATGCAAAGTGAATTGACTGTATATTTTGTAGGCAAAACGCAGCAGCCAATTGCGCACAGCAGCGTCCCACAAACAGTCGTGGATTGAGTGACTAAATTATTATTTATTTGTTTTGAAAGGGATTATTACGCCCGGAAAGCGATGCGCCAATCGACTAACAACCGGGTTCCTACTTATTGCTAAGTAAACAGAGGCGTGTGGAGTAAGGAAACTTGCCCAGTGGTTCGCCCTGCCGGGATTTGAACCAAGGTCTCTTGCTTGCGAGGCGAGTGCTCTTAGCACTGAATTGCAGCGACAAGGGTACTCTCTCTATACGATCGTGTTCCATTCTCTGTTTGTGCGTTTGTGTGTGTGTGTGTGGGAAAAAAAAGCGCCAAAGCACAATCATCAATGCAAGAAAGTTATGGCACTCTGCATAATGACCCAATAGCGAGGAGGAGAATTCTATGGCCTGTCCCCGGGGCGACTCCAAGACAAACATAGAAAGAATGACCTTACAGTGAGCTTGCTGTACAGTCGGCCTGGATCTCCTCCAGCTTCCAGGTGCCTTGGTGAACAAGCCAGACAGTATCCTGTCCCTCTGGAAGCTTTACTGATTGGCATGAGAACGATTGCTTCCATTCAGCCCCAGGTTTACTCAGTGATTCCACATCCCAGCGACTGGCATCAGGGAAATACACTGTAAATATTGTTTCGTTTTTGACTGCAGTAGTAACTGTGATGAAACCGGTCTGGCTTTATAGTGCCTTCTCTTGGATGAGTGTGTTTCTCCCATCGGATCCTGTAAGCTGACTTTCTCTCACTCCGAGGTGAGCCACTTATTTTGACTCCGCAGATGGCTTGTGACCCAGGTAAACAATACCTGATTTATTGGAAGACTCTGCACTTCCTGACATCGCCAAGTCAGACACACACCGGCAGAGTGTTCAGTTGAAGTTTAACTAAAAGTTTTAAGATAAACGAGGTTTTTTTTTTAATTTGCAGGCAATTCTGTCATACAACGCACGTTATGAAAAGTT